AGGTTTCTCATGATCCACGGCAGTTTCACATCTCTGGTTAGCAGGTACCCTAACAAAAGGAACTTAAACAGAAGACAACAAATGAGAGCAGCACTTGGTGAAGAGGGCAGAAAAGGGATTACACTTGTGCATGTCCCATCGAGTCTGATCCCCCAGTGGTTTAGTGCACTTCACAGGCTTAGGACAGATTAAACACAGGATATGTGCACCTGTCGTTCACAGCCACAAGTGTGTCATGTGAGCAATATTTTGAATAAAGTGGATATAGGGTTCAATATACAAAACTTCACCAGTCAAATGTGGTTAACTTTAATACTTTTTACTTAAAAGTGTCATTTCTATACCTTGAAAAGTAATGTAAATTAAGGTTTTTGTTGTTGTTTTAAATTTAAAAAAAAATATATATATATATACCTTTTATACAAAGATAAAAGGTAATAAAAAGGCAATTTGATCAGGTAGTCAATTTTAGTAAAAATATTTAAAGGGATCAAAGGATGCCCAGTTTCCACAAGTCGATATGATTCTTTAGGGTCTTAATGAAAAGTCTGTAACATAGTTTGGTTAAAATTTCTCAATGGTAGTGTAAAAAACACCTTTTTTACCCTTCAAAAACAGCTCTTTTCCGAGCATGCAGATTTGTAGCATTTTCCTTTAAATGTTAATGAGCTCTGCTGACCTCTCTTCCCTCTCTTCCGAGCTGCTCTCAGAGAGACTGTTTACTTTAGCCGCATTCATCGTGAAACTTGCTAATTATCACATTATTAGGAAAGGCGATTTGCAAAGATTCGTTAAAAAAAACACTCACTTCTTCTGTAGGTGAAGCTGGATCACGAATGATTCGCGCGAACATAGACACATTTATGTAGATCGAGGGTGCATTCCCTTAAAAAACAAACATAATCCACTGTCTTCAGTGGCTCAGATTTCGGGAGTAAATGACGACTGCTATGTTCATTATTACATCCAACAACAGAACACCTCAATCGCTTAGGAGTCATTCTTGTCTACATCTGCTCCAGCGGTGAAACAATGGCGGACTGATGACAGCTCACTCAAGCGGGTCTAAGGTAAGACGCCAGTCCAGTCTGTGCTGAAACGCTACTGTCAATCAAACTATCATGGGAGGGGCCTGTCTGTGTGACGTCACACAGACAGGCATCTGAGATCGGCTCGATTTGAGAAAGGGGTAAAGATTTTAGTAGATTAACAAAAAACCACTGGGTGTATTTTTATTGTTTTAGGGTGGTTGTGTACACACACTGCCAAAAACACATTTCAGTTCAAACAACTTGTAAAAGTGCATGTAGCATCCTATGACCCCTTTAAAGACATATTTTTTTCTTAATTCTTATCCAGGAAACAATGAATGACTGGAAAAGTCATGTAAATTCAGTGGTTAAAAAGGTTGGGATCCATGAAAAACATTCAGCTCTTAAAACTTCTGAAACATTATTATTTTAATCGAATAATTAAACCATTAAAATTATTTAATTGCAATAATTTTACTTATAATTATTTAATTAAATGATTTATTTTTAAATGTATATTATTTAATTACAATTATTTGAATTATAATTATTGTAGTTACCTACTTTAATCTGGTTCCATTGGCATTTCAGCCAATATTGTGTATAGGGGTGCTTGGAGTCAAAAAGCTGAAGAACCACTGATGTAAATACACATGACTGTATTATATAGGCTACAGACGTATATTAAATGAAAGTATAGACATTTATTTACAAAAGTAGGCCTATATTGTACCTCAGATTTCTTTACACTAGCACTACCATATTAAAGTTTCTTCTGTGTTTGACGTTGCAGGGTGTTCCGTATGAACCCGTCCAGCAGTAACAGCCTCACTTCCATAAAAGCACTACTGAACGAATCAGTGAACGCATTTTAACTGATTCAAATGATTCGAGTCACTGATCCAGGGGGCGTGGTTGGATCCAGATCCAACTCTTCCCACCTTACATATACCTAAACCTACCGGTCTCCACCCCCAGATCCCTAAACCCACCCATCTCCACCCCTAAACCTACCCATCTCCACCACCTAGATGTGGATCCAACCACGCCCCCTGGATCTTGTGTTCTGCAGTGAGGGGCTACTGGAAAATCCTCGCAACTGAAAAGACTCTACTCTTTAAAGGGTTAATTCGCGGGCCCTCTCACATGACAGCATCACGTGACATTGATCCCGTGACGTCTTGTAGCAATTTGACAGCAGAGGCAGCAGGTAAGCGAGAAGTCAAATATATTTCTAATATTTCTACTACAAATATTGTTTATCGGGTTCACAAATAATTGTCAGTTATCTGTAT